GATTTGACCATCGAAAGCTCGCAGACACTAGACACAATGTCGCATAGGTGTGCTCAAAGCTTGGAAGTGAATAGATTTGAGTCACGTGTTCAGTGCTTTGTTATTCATGAGGTCAAGAGGGGTTGAAATTTGTAAACAAGGTGGCTCTACTATGGAGACAAACACCCGTGATTTTGCACCTATTTTGAAAATAACAAATGAGCGCACGACTGTTTCAATTTCTTTCATGAATGTAAATGACTAGTATAACTCTTTACATTGACCGTATTTACGACAACTTGAAACATCCATGCGCTGATATAAAAAATGGGCTTGCAAATTGGGGGTGTGGCCTGAAGTCTATGAGAAATCGATGTAAACAACATACTCCTGCTATATTAATCACATAAATACCTAATTACAGCGCAAGGAAGTAAAAATTGAAATTGAAATTAATAAACTACAATGTTTGATGGAAATATTGAGGCAAAAATATGGAGAGAATCTTTCATTTAATTTTTTGTAAATTATCGGGGGGGGGGGGGGGGGGGCAAGTTTTGGACGTTTAAACGATTCATCCTTTAGACCTGTACTCGGCACTTACGGCCATTGAGCAGTGAGGGATCAGCTACTGCGACACCGGACCTCGGTTTATACGGTCTCCTCCGAAGGACCAGTCTTCACTCGCACAGAAATAAAACCAGGAATGTTTACCAACCAGAAGTCTCTGATGAGACTGTAGCTCTACTGGTTTTTTACAAAAGTAGAGAAAGGTAACACTTTGACTTGAAACTATGGCAACTGTTTACAGCAAAAAATAAAATAATAATCCTTACTAAAGTCTCTCTCTGAGTCAAGTTTAACTGTAATTGGACAAAAACTGTAGTAGGAGTAACATTTTGGAAGAATTTCACAGAGAATTATATCTTTAGTAACTATGGCAACACTTCAAAATAAATTTTTAAAAAACCTATACAGAGAATGATGTAGTCTTCTTGTGTATTTACTTATTTTGAAATCGGACTGAAACTGTAGGAGGAGTAGCAATTTGCAAGAATTTCAAGGGAATCTCTCACTCACTCTCTCATATCAATTCTATGTACTTCCCAATACTAAATAATAGAAAAATTTATATTCTATACTTTCACTTTTCAAAGAATACAACAGCAAACATCATATAAGTACTTACCAGGTACCTATACACTCACCCTGTACTTACTATTTTTTATTTAAATTAGAAATGTTTTCTTTTATTAACGTACGTTTGTGTACTGTCTTTTTTGATTATTGCTTACAAATAGAATTTAAAAAAATGTCAATACATATTCGGAAGGGAAAAAAATGATGATATAATTGGCATAATCCATCGATTCCTAATTATTGGAAAATACGAATCGATGATTTTTGGCGATTCCTAGTATCGTTACTTATCATAACCACACACAAAGAAATAATGAAAAAAATATTCACTAAACTAATTTCAAACAAAACTAAGAACTAATACTATAGTCATAATTAATTTAATATTCACAAAATCCCTAAAAATTAATGAAAAAACACTAAAAATCCTCATCGTGTTTCCACCGTATTCTATGCATTCAAAATGGCCGGTACATGTTGTGACGTCACAGCGGCTAAGGCCCGAAAACCGAGCGTTTCAGAAAATCGCTCGGGTGTGAAATAGGGTTTTCCCCAGTAGCTTCGTTGCATAGATTTCGGTGCGTTTTTTTTTTCTTTAGTTTTATTTTAGCATGATCTTCAGCATATATAAAAATAAAGAGCCACTGCAGGTACCCTTTAAATAAATTATTATTATTCTAAAAACATAGCCGTGAAAATTTAAAAAAAAAAAAAAAAAAAAAAAAAAAAAAAAAGCAAATATTCATCGTTATTTTATTTATAGAGGAATAATAAAACAAAGTTATATTAAATTTAAGGAACAAGACTTCAAATGATCACTCAATCGTAACAGATAAATTAGTGCCTATTAGTATGTACACATAGGAATTAAGTCATCCCAAAAAATAGATTAGGGATCAATTTATCGACATCCTCACAATGTCAAGGTTTTTGTGATTTCGGTACTCCACAAAAAGCCTTGACATAAGTCGCTATTTAAAAGTTGGAGTAGAAAGCTACTATTTCATTTGTTCCTGGTCTAGGACTGGAACCAATCAGAAAACAACTTTTATTGTAGGTAAGTTTTGTAAACAAATATGACTCGTCTTTAAAATGGAAAGTGTCGATATTGTAGGATTTGTGACTAGTTACATAAAACGAAACATCGGGGAAAAATTTTTGGAAGATCACCCTCATAACAATCGCAAAAGATATGCTCTAGATTTCATTTGAAAGCGACTGATTTGAAAAATACATTTCCATGGGTTAGTTTATAATTACCCATTTCGTCATGCGTAACCAATTAAATAGCGACTTATGTCAAAGGTTTGTGTGGAGTTCAGAAATCACAAAGCCTTGACATTGTGAGGATGATTTATCGACGAAGGGAACTACATTCGGTGGCTATTGCAGATGCGAAAAACACTATATCCAAAGAATCACAGAGGGGGGGGGGGGCTCCCTGAAAACATGATTTGCTTTCAAAGTGAAAGAACTTTCACGACATTGAAGAGTAAATTCCTATTTAATCTTGAAAACTTTACTATGCAGGAAGTAAATTATTTTAACAGACAATTATACAACAAACAAAATGAAGCAATACCATATTGTATACGCGCCCAGAATGTTTCGTTTGCAAGTGTTTATTTAAATTTATGCAAATGTTTGTAATTTTATTTTATTGGGGGGGGGGGGTGTCTTCTATTTGTTTCCCAGAGTACATGTAAAGCATTACGTAAATCATATGCGCAGTTTTCAACATACATGTAATTGCATTCTCTGATGTAAATGACAGATACGTACATGAAACTTTAGCCGAATAACTGTCAAGTCAATTACTAGTAGTGAAACAAATAAGAAAAAACTATGGAACAAAAACATATAACAAATTTATTTCCCAGAAAATGAATATAAATTGTAAAGTTTAATGGGAATTGTTACATGTACTACTTGACTAGGTAATAGTATCAATAACCAGGATCGTCGTTACCACAGTGCTTGACTAATTTGATCACCTTATATTTATCTTAGAACTCAACATCTTTGCTCTTTTTTTGTCTTTTTTTCTGAACTTCTCTTTCCCTTCCATTTGGTGCCTACATGTACATGTATCGCACGCATTTAGGACTTCAAGAGCATATATATATATATATATATATATATATATATATATATATATATATATATATATATATATATATATATATATATATATATACAATGTATATATATATATATATATATATATATATATATATATATATATATATATATATATATATATATATATATATATATATATATATATATATATATATATTACATTTTCAGCAGTGAAATACTGTGCTTTATTTATTGAATAAAAGTGCTATTCTCTCACAGTGTGAAAGGAGAACAAAGTGATATTCTGTGAAAGTATGAAAGGATATCAATGTAAATAAAAATAATTTCTGGCCTGTAATAAGATACAGTAACTAAATCATCTTAATAGAGACTAAAACTGCCAATTTCTCCCCAAATATATTGCTTAAATTCATGTTAAAATGTTTTCAATCTCACAAATGCTAAGCTATCTGACGTCTCAACTGCTTAACTATGTCGTCACAGCATATGACACTGAGTCAAGAGTTATAGAAGAGACAGAGACAAAGGGAAAATCTAAGAAAATGTAATAAACAGAAAATTCAATGTTTTATAGTTGGATATGGAATTTATTTCACTCGTGAGACAGGATTTTTTGATATTTTTACTCATGCTTCGCACTTGTGAAAATATCAAAAAATCCTGTCCCACTCGTGAAATAAATTCCATATCCAACTACAAAACATTGAATATCCTCTCTCTCTCTCTCTCTCTCTCTCTCTCTCTCTCTCTCTATATATATATATATATATATATATATATATATATATGAAATGACACAGACAGACAATAGCTTACAGCTGTTGATTCGGAAGAGTACTTTTGAAATATCAATCCTTCATACATAACAACCCAACGAAAAAATAAAAATGTGACCCAAGTTTCATTAGAAAGTAAAAAATGTGTATTGAAAAGCTATTCTACGTAATTACTTTAACTCTTATAAAGAAGCTATAGCACGCATTGTCATAGAATTTCTTCAAACTTCCTACGATAAAAGTATTTGATACCATAAACTCATATCAGACAAATATTATAGTGGGTGTTCGTCAGTGACTGTTTCCAAGTGAAGGACTTGATGTCCTATATGCATAATGAAAGAACAATTGCATACGTTACCATACAAGAAAATATTTTTTCATTTATCAATTTCACAAAATAAATGAAATCACAAGTTGTAATGTAACCATACAATCTTACGCAGAGTGTAAACGGTGCTGATCTATAAGAAGTCTGATTGTAATTAGATTGTAACTTATTCATAAAAGGACAGCTATATTTGTTGTTTATCTAGCATTCCTGATTGAGTTTGGTCATGTAACTCCTAGAACTCCTGAGCATTTTTTTCTGAACATAAAATGTATACCAAAGCTACCATGCTTACCATCTATTTTAGAGATAAATTACAGAGAATTTCTTTACTTCATCAGTAGAAACTATAGGTAATAAAAAGTTTATGCTAGTGGTCAATCTGGTATTCTTAGTCCTTGTTAAGGCTTATTGAAGATTCAAAATAGCTGAAAATCTCAATTATTTGACATTTTTTCTCTTTCTGTGGCAACCTGGACACACAGTAACAAAATTTTGCTTTATTTCTGTTTCTGGTGTCAAACTTTACTTATAAGCAAAGTTTCATCTTAATGCCAAAAATTTTTAAGTGATTTCAGAGAATTCCTCTTAAAAACTGATACCATATTTTGAAGAGAATTGCCTAAATAAAAAAAATTGTGAAGTATCATATTTAATTTGAGCTGATTTACTTATTACAATCCTTCCCTTACAAATTTCTTCAACTTTCCGTAACTCGTAAGCTATAAAATCTATGTTGTTCTCACAACGTAAAGAAGCCTACATCATTTTATCCCCTTTGTTAAGGTCCTTGTGAAGGTCAAGGAGAGAATCTAATATGTCCAATCACATATAACTCAATTAAACTGAGTCTACTAAACCACAATCCATTAGACAAATTAAATTATGAGCACAATAATCGTCTTATCAGTATATCTTGGTGATTTGCCTTTTTTTCCAATCTTTTCCGATATTTTCGATGGCAATCGGGTTACCTTAGTAGATTGTAATGGATGCAATATTCCGACAAATATTTATTATTTCTTATTTCGTAGAACTGTTGGAGTTTTGGACATTATGATATAGGACGGATCTCAAGCGTTTCATTTCTTTTTCACTATAAATATTTGGTCCTTCAACATCCTCCTTTAGAAAAGAAGCGCTTCCATATCGTTCCATTTGGTCGTTGAGGTTTTCCATTTGTTTTATCCAAAATGTCACATATCTTACACATTGAATTCAGAAATACTTCGTCAATACCAATTTCGTAATATTTGTCTTTTTCTCTTAGGTATCGTGTAAAAACGTCTTCCTTTGCGGCAATTTCTTTAAGTTTCTCTGCCAAAGCTTTAGGCGAGGGAAAATCCAAAGCGCTGATAAACGATCCTTTTGGCAAATACTCCTTGGCTGTTTGTGGGCCATTTATAACAGGTATGACATCTAAATTGCCCAAATATAAATTGTATAATTTTTCTGTCGTATAGTCCTCACATATATTATTTTCAAATGAAAAGTAGAATTTGTAATCCCTAGAAAAGTTTCTCAAACACTCGCTTAAATATGGAGATCGATTGCGGCAAACGCGATCACCACAAGTACCAAACATATCTACTTTTATATACTTCTTTAGTTCTCGTATATAGTCTCGTCGGCGAGATGGCACGGGACAATGTCCAGACATCCATACTCCAAATCCTTTCTTTTTCTTAAACACATCTGTGTAGTTCTTGATTAAAGGTGTAGTTCGTTTCACTAAAGTTCCATACGGCCTGTGTATATCTGAATTTCTACGATACGACATTAACCAGTCTAATTTGTCATCCCACTTGGGTGAGGGTCGGTGCATGAAAGCTGGGCTTTCCATTGAATTAAATATGAATATTTGTTGAGGTCTTTTAGGCGGGGGCACACCTCCCATGTAAGCTTGTGTGAATAAAACAACGTCACTTTTATTTAGATCTCTATTATCCGTAGAAAATAGACATTTAGGGTATTTCTTACATTTTTCTGATTTAGCGTATTTAAAACTGTTCACTAAATACGGGGGTATATTGTGCCACAATATTCTCCATTCTTTGTTTGGTGTAGACGGATAATTTTTCTGGAGTTTAACTGGCAGAAAATTCATTGTACCAATAGGGGTAAATGTATCAAACAGCAGGAAGAAAAATCCGGTCGAGATAAAGAAAACTACAAGTACTCGAAGGGAAAGCTCCAATTGCGAAGACCTGAAACAAGAATATATATATATATATATATATATATATATATATATATATATATATATATATATATATATATATATATATATATATCAAGTAAGGATTAGTTTAAACTTTATTTCATTTAAATAAGTCATCATATGTACACAATAAATAATACATTCAGGATTCGGAAACAAGTTGTTAAAACTAATATTTAAAAAGTAAGGATATGAGGGCGAGAAATGCAATATGAATTACAAACAAGCTCAATATACATGCACTTATTCAATATTTATTACAAATACTATTTCAGAAAACTTGAAAAAAAAGTGGATAGCAACAAACATGAATTGATTAAAAAACATTTTACTTGATTTAAATAGCATTCTACTTCCGAAACAATTAAGATTTGACTGCATGCATGTCACGATTATGAAAGTTTATCTCTCTCTCTCTCTCTCTCTCTCTCTCTCTCTCTCTTGCACACATAAAATTATAATAAAAGAATATTTAGCGAGGTCATACGCATTATTCATGTTCTCCCATTGCTTGAATTGAAAGAAGGATAACTCTTCCAAATTTTACTTTTTTTAATATCTTCACATGCATCACTAGATATTTCACAAAACTTGAATAATAAATGATATTAAAAATGCCTGTAATTTCAATGAAATTCGTAGTTTTATTTTCACCTAAGTTCCAAAGTTGATTAATCGTCACTGTTTAAGGTTTATGTCGTTGATAAAATAAGAGGCATAAAACCATTGTTGTCACAGTCAAAGAACTGCGAACGATAGTATTGTTCTGCCGCCTACCTCCAAGTCAATTTTCAAGTTAAAATATTTATACCTGTATCTATATGAATTTTCACAAAACCTTACTTTTGGAAAACAAAGTGAGACAACTCTATAATTTTGTTAAACTTGTGTTTTTCACTATAGAAATCAACGGAAAACAGGAAATATTTTAACCCCCCCCCCCCTCCCATGGTGAAAAAATTTGCAAATTCACGCCAAAGGTTTGGTTGTTTCACGGGGGAACATACGTTTACAAACCAAAATACACCAAAAATCGTCATTTTATAACAAAATTCAGATGATTTAAACATTTACTCAATGAATCAGATATAATTAGTTTTTCATAAGTTTATCGCTTATTCACATCTCTGAGCAAAATCCGGTTACGTTTTAAAATCTGATTTCAATGGGAAACAATTACACCCCCTTATTACTTAAGAGTTGTAATTAACAACAATTAGTTAATTAACACTCGTATCGGAGAAATATTCAATTACTAATAAAGTCAATTTCTACATTCCAAAAAAAAAATGTATTTTAAACAGTGTGTAAAATGTTGGCGGGAATCGGGAGTTAGCGTTCCCAGTTCTTAGAACTTATTACCATGGGGTGGTCAGCGTGTCTTGTTTCAGACAGTCTGTTCTATAAACAGGCTCTAATCAGAGACTACATGTATATCAATTGGAGGGGTGGCTCAACCGAACAGAAATGAGAATTTTTTACAGATAAAATAAATCACCAGATGCTGCTGAGGTTACACAGCAGTACATAAACTTCGAATATTATATGTTAGCAAAAGGATATGGGCACACCCTTAACCTTCCAACCCTACCCCCACCTCCGCCTTATACGAGCCCACTAAAAATTTTTTGCAATGGTTAAAATTAAACTACGAAAATTTCATGATTTACGTGTAAATAGGAATTTGGGCCTAGGAAATAGGAATTTTGAGCATTTCTGTCCACGGATGAAAAAAAATCGAATGCAATCTTTTAAAAATCATTTTATATTTACGTGCTGACTTTATGACTACAACGACTACAGTTATATACATTGTAGTTCGGTTGAAATTAGCAAGCTGCTATTTAAGATTCACTGATCTTCTGCCTAAGAGAGATAACTCTGTGATAAATTACTATTATTGCGAAATTTTGAACAAAGTATAAATATATTTCTTTCTACCATAAGAAACTATAAGATATAATATTTTCTACTTGTTAAAAAAAGTCTTAAACAAAATTTAAAAGAATGTTACTTGCTATGAAAAGAATCACTGGAACTAAATGAATTAAAAGTACATGTACACTCTGTTGGGAGAGTAATCATTTTGCATTACTTTGTGCAGGATATACGTAATTGAACTGTTCTAAACCAAAGGATATCTTTTAATGAAGTTTGATAAATTATCTTATATATTATCTGCCATTTAAAAAAGTGGACTGGTAGCAAGGAAGGTTAAGGTCAGAAATTCATAACAGAGTTGAATTTCTCTTGCTATCTTGTATCAGAAGCTTAATAAAAACATCTTCAACGTGTTTGGGGTTTTTTGTGTTTTTTTTTAAACAAAGGTAAAACAAAATGAGAAATAATAGGGTTAAGGTCATAAAATAATGACACATTTGCATTCCTCATATCAGTATGAAAGTATTTTTTGTAAGAGGTTTGGAAAAAAAAAATTGAAAAGTTTCTTTAAATCTTAGCTAAACACAATGTGATAGACGGACACACAACTAGACAAAAGAAAGAAAGGCAGAAGACGAACATGACGTAAACTATATGTATGTGTCCTAGCCAAATCCAGGGCAGGACATAAAAATAGAATGACTACACCCAATTCTTGTCGATTGCTTTAAATTGTGGCTTGGTCGGTTGCATCTTTTCCAGTGGCCGATTTTGCGGAAAAGGGGGGGAGGCTCCTTTCCCTCTTTTGTGACCAAAAATATACAGAAGTTTATAGATTTTCTTTACTGTGAGATATTGCTTTAATTATACATAAAGTGTAGCTAAAATAAATCTTAGAACTGTTCTTAAAACTTTATCTTTCTGGGGTTATGTCGCCTTTGCTCCCAACAGGGTTTTGTCATGGACCTATAGGACCTACGAAACCTAGACCCTAACCTGTTCGGTCCCCCTCCCTTTTAAGGTTAAAGAATACTGGATCCGCCACTGTTTTATTATACTTCACAGTTCGGATAGAAGACTGGAGACATCGATATAGGGATTTTCTTAAGTGGGATGAATGACATGATGTTATTGACTAGTTCCGCCTTCCTGCCTCCGTGGCGATGTTTTCTCTGCTTTGTATTCGACATCACGTTGCTATCTATTCATTAGAAGTTTATTATCCTTAATCTTATTATAGCCAAGAACACGTGTATATTCTATTAATCGTCTCGCTATATACATGTATGTAATAACAAATTTATATCCATTTCAATGTAAACCTATAGGGCTTGAGACATTTATTTTAATCAAGAAAATAAAGATAAACTAATTAGAATGTACTCATGATAGAGTGCTCTGACTTTTAATCCAGTTGGGATATGAAAGTGTAAGACTTTTCCGTAAGAATATTGTTTGTTTGTTGGTTTGTTGGTTTGGTTTGTTTGTTGATTTGTTTATTATCTAACGTCCCTCTCGAGAACTTTTCACTCATATGGAGACGCCACCACTTGCCGGTGGAGAGCTGCAAATTTTGACCTATACCAGGCACTTAGAGCCACTGAGCAGTGAGTTATCTTTTTCGTGCTAGCACCTTCTGCGACACAGGACCTCTGTTTATACGGTCTCATCCGCAGGACCGGATTTTACAAAAGGATTTTCTTGAACAACCAAGGAAAAAATTAGCTTTGAAAAAATTAATAAAAGCAGTGAAAGCATTAAATAGGAAATGTATAATTTGAAAATCGGAGTATTTCAATTAATTAAAACGCGATAAATATAGTAATTAATCCAATGCAATTTTTATATACCGACAAGCCCGTTTTACAGCGTACACACTTAACGTTAACGGCGTTAAACTTCTTGTTTTAAAAAAAGGGACTCTTGAGTTCAGTACTTATACAATGTAACACTGATTACGCCTGCAGTGCATGGTATTCAGGGATATCTAAGACCTTTAAACAAAAACTACAAGTATGTCAAAATAAGATGGTTCGATTTGTTTTCAATTTAGGTCAAAAAGCATTTAGCTGTAAATTATGAAATTTTCAATCAATTGAATTTACTTAATATTCAATATCAATATTCAAACTTTATATTTACTTGACAAGTCAAAAAATACGTATCTATCTATCTGTAGTCTATCCTTCTTTCTTTCTCTTTCTATGTAAAATTGTCAAAGTAAAGCGGAAATTTATTAAGAAAGTACAATGTAAACTATTTTTATTGAAGTGCAAATAAAATTGAAAATGACATACAATCAATGAAAACATGCTTTACATTTTTTTTTGGGGGGGGGGGGGGGAGAATGGCCATTTAATTTTTATATATTCATCAAAAAAAACTTTTTTTTTTATTTAACTCATGTGTGAAACAGGACGTGAAAACATCCTTAGGGCAAGAAAAATACCTATTGCTTGGCAAATCAAAATTTGACATCTTTTGTTAATTTATCTATCATTTGTATTGTGTGTAATTACCGTAATTATATATTACATGTAGGGTTCTTGAAAACAAAAACAAATTGGAGCCACCATGGACGTCTTAAAAGTACTTCAAATAACATCTTGATTCGGTTTTCGCTCGCTTGACTGATTTGCAAATATTTAATGTAATACCTGTACAAAGCAGGACACGGTCAGTGGTCAGGAAAAATGGATATTGATCAATTTGAAAACAGTGGTCATTTTGACATTTAGAAAATGTTGAAATTATATTCTTAGGCGGGGTCTAACATCTTTAAGCCTTTAGACCAATATATATATATATATATATATATATATATATATATATATATATATATATATATATATATATATATATATATATATATATATGATCAACTTTTCTCTCTCACACATATTCATATGACCTGTTACCTATTTAGAGAAACTACAAAAGGGTTGTATACCTAGGTTTTTTTAGGGGGGAAATAGATATTGTTTTTTCGTGTCAGTCCTGATAAGAAGAACCAAATGTAATTTTTTCATAAACATACATTTTGATGACATGCCATATTCAACAAAAGTTAGAAGTTAAAATATCA